CTTGCCCTCACTCCAAACCTTTTCCTTCCATAGACTTCTCCATTGCAGTAAATTAACAGCTTCCTCTGCTAAATTCCTCAGGCCAAAAACTTTGATTCCTCTCTATTTTTTTCACACCCCACATCCAATCCATCAGCAAATCTTATTGACTCTACCTTCAGAATATATCCAGAATCTGATAGCCTTTTACCATCTTGTCTGCTACCAGTCTGGTCCACTTTACCATGATCTGATGCATTTCATTATGGCAACTCCCTCCTAACTAACTGGACTTCTCTGTCTACTTTTACCCTCCTTCCATCTATTCTCAGCTTTGTAACCAGAGTAATATTATTAAAACATAAGCCAGATCATATCCCTCCTCCAGCAGCTTCCCATCCCATTCAGAGAAGAAGCCAAAGTCATGGCAATAATCTACCAAACCCTGCACGAACGGCACTGCCTTCTCTTAATTCTCTGTGCAAAGTCCTGTTCTTGCCCTTGCTTCCTCCCCTTTAGCCACACTGTGCTCTTCGCAATCAGGCAAAGCACTTCCTGCTCAAGGGCATATGTACTCATTGTTCCTTTTGTCTGGAAAGCTCTTCCCTGGTTATCTGTGTGGATAACTCACGATTTCTTCTGTATCTTTGCTCAAATGTCACCTTCTTGAAGAGATCTCTACTCCTTTATAAAATACTAACCCTCACTCCCACCCTACAACCCTCTGCCCTATCTACTTTATATTCCATATTTCTTACCACCATGTCATGGAGTCTAACTTCTCTTATTTATTCATCTAGGCTATATGTCCCCATGAGATGAAAAAGGCAGGAGCACAGAGAATTTGCTTGTTTTGTTCATTGCTCTGTGCCCAGTTTCTGAAACAGTGGTATATAGTAAGAGCTCAAAAACGATTTTTCTGAATGACTGAATGAATATCAGGGTGACAAATAGAGACTCTGTCCCTTGAGGGAACTCACAGTGGAAGATTGACAGCTAATAAACAGGTGATTATGGTGAAGAGTGCATTGTCGTGGATGCGATGGCCGGGCTGGTCAGGCCAAGAAGCACATTGCTGTGCTATTCCATTTAGAGCAGAATGCATTCCTAGCCATATTTTATGTGACTGACAGTATTTAAAAAGTTGAATTTGAGCGTTCTTATATTGGGTGTGCCCTCTTTAGTTAACCCTCGGTACCCTGACTCCTGTTACATTATACTCCGTAGGATTTGTATATTAAAGTTACCTGCCTGGACTTTCTGGGAATGGGAGTTGGCAACGTCTGATTTAGAGGATTCCAAGGATTTGGAGGTTTCCTAGAATGTGGAAAATGGTATATGCTGAGCCTGAGGTCTTGTTAGCCTTAGTGTGAATCAGAATAATTTAAACACTAGTGCTGCTTTATGGTTTCAGAATACATTGGATAAAGTGTCATGTCTTAGACTTTTATAAAGTTCAGAGTAAATTGTTTAAATGAGTGTATGTCTGACTGCTGTATTTTTAGGAGGTAGAAATGTGATTCAAAATGGCAAAACCATATGCTACACAGAAAATGTTAGAGTTTTTAAATATGCATATTTAAAATGGGCTTTTGTTTCCTTTTCTGTTTGTTTTTGGGATTGAGATATGTGGGGGTAAGGGTTAGCATAGCTTGTGATGTAACAAGAACCAGCACTATAGTGTTCACCTTCACCAGACCCTGATCTGATCACAAGCACATCTTGTTTGTGGATAGCCAAGCAGTGTTGCGTAGAATTTAGGAATGCAGACTCTGGAGCCAGGGGTTTAAAGTCAGGTTTCCCCAGCTACCAGCTGTGTAACTTGTGGGAAGTTACTAAACCTCTCTGTGCCTTAGTTCCTTTCGCTGTAAAACAGGAATAATAATAGTACCTACTTGGTAGGGTTGTTATGAAGATTATTATATAATGTACTTAGAATGGTGTTTGTTATTCAGTAATCTCACAATAAATGTTAGCTACTGTTACTACTATGA